ATTACTTCAGTACAGATAGAGGAAAAGTCAAAAGATAATGATTCCTCTGAAGCAGAACCAGAGCACAATGAACAAGAACCAAATGAAGTCAATGATAAAGATGCTCGACGAACAACACGTCTGATGAAGAAACCATCTTGGCACTCAGACTATGTTATGGCAAACCATGATGCGTAATGTCTCTTAACTGAAGAAGGAGAACCTTCAACCTTTCAAGAAGCATTGAGGAGTTCAGATGTTTCTCAATGAATGACAGCAATGCATGAAGAAATAGAAGCCTTACATAGGAACGAGACATGGGAACTTGTTGAACTTCCAAAAGGTCGAAAAGCAATTGGAAACAAATGGGTATACAAAATCAAACAAGATGGCAATGAACAAGTGGAGCGATATCGTGCAAGACTGGTGGTCAAAGGATATGCTCAGAAAGAAGGCCTTGATTTTAACGAGATATTCTCACCAGTTGTTAGACTTACCACTATCAGAATAGTACTGGCAATGTGTGCTGTAGATGATTTACATCTGGAACAGTTAGATGTAAAGACTGCTTTTCTTCATGGAGAACTTGAAGAAGAAATATATATGCTCCAACCAGAAGGTTTTGAAGAACAAGGCAAAGAAAACTTGGTTTGTAGGTTGACCAAATCTCTGTACGGTTTAAAACAGGCGCCAAGGTGTTGGTATAAGAGATTTGATTCTTTCATTATTAGCCTCAGATACAACAGATTAAGTTCAGACCATTGTACATACTACAAGAGGTTTGAGGATAATGATTTCATTATTTTGCTATTGTACGTGGATGATATGTTGGTGGTAGGCTCCAACAAAGTTCGAGTCCAAGAATTGAAGGCACAATTGGCTAGGGAATTTGATATGAAGGACTTGGGACCTGCAAACAAGATTTTAGGGATGCAGATTCACCGAGACAGAAAAAACAGGAAGATTTGGCTTTCACAAAAGAATTATTTTCGAAAGGTCTTGCGGCGCTTCAACATGCAAGATTGCAAGCCAACTTCTACCCCACTTCCTGTTAATTATAAATTATCCTCAAGTATGTGTCCTAGCAATGAAGCAGAGAGGATGGAAATGTCTCGAGTTCCGTATGCATCAGCAGTGGGAAGCCTAATGTATGCCATGATTTGTACAAGACCAGACATTGCACATGCAGTGGGAGCGGTTAGTAGATTTATGGCAAATCCTGGTGAAGAGCATTGGAATGGTGTTAAGAGGATCCTTAGATACATCAAAGGAACCTCAGATGTTGCGTTATGTTTTGGAGGATCAGAGTTTATTGTCAGGGGTTATGTCGACTCAGATTATGTAGGTGATCTTGATAAAAGAAAATCTACTACAGGCTATGTGTTTAAACTTGCAGGAGGGGTGGTAAGCTGGTTATCTAAACTACAAACTGTTGTAGCTTTATCCACCACAGAAGCTGAATACATGGCAGCTACTCAAGCATGCAAGGAAGCAATCTGGATTCAAAGGTTATTGGAAGAACTCGGGCACAAGCAAAAGAAAATTACTGTATATTGTGACAGTCAGAGTGCTTTGCACATTGCAAGAAATCNTGGAATGGTGTTAAGAGGATCCTTAGATACATCAAAGGAACCTCAGATGTTGCGTTATGTTTTGGAGGATCAGAGTTTATTGTCAGGGGTTATGTCGACTCAGATTATGAAGGTGATCTTGATAAAAGAAAATCTACTACAGGCTATGTGTTTAAACTTGCAGGAGGGGTGGTAAGCTGGTTATCTAAACTACAAACTGTTGTAGCTTTATCCACCACAGAAGCTGAATACATGGCAGCTACTCAAGCATGCAAGGAAGCAATCTGGATTCAAAGGTTATTGGAAGAACTCGGGCACAAGCAAAAGAAAATTACTGTATATTGTGACAGTAAGAGTGCTTTGCACATTGCAAGAAATCCAACCTTTCATTCCAGGACAAAGCATATAGGGGTTCAATATCATTTTGTCCGAGAAGTAGTAGAGAAAGGAGATGTAGATTTGGAAAAGATCTGTACCAAAGATAACCTAGCAGATGTTATGACAAAGCCGGTCAATACTGACAAGTTTGTATGGAGTAGATCCTCTTATGGTCTATTAGTAGCGTAGCATGAAACTGACAAGGAAGACAAAGTATTGTGAAGACATGATTGATTTAATCAAATCTTCAAGTGGGAGAATTGTTAGAAGTTGTTGTTAGAAGTCCCACATCTAAAATGGGCAAAGACTTCTCTCCATCATTTGCATATAAATAGAGGTGTAAGGGAAGGTGTAAAATGCACACCAAACTTACTAGTATCCTCCTTGCTCCAAAGAGAGGGTGTTGTAATCTCTTCTATCTAGTAAATATTTTTCTTGACCTTGCCCTTGGTCTTGTGTTAGTTATAAATTTTTCTCATCTTTATTTAGTTGTGTGTGCTTGTGCTGTATGACTGATACCCAACATCTCTTTCGTAATTTCAACTCCAATCTGTCCATCTTCCTCTTAAATCCTAAAAGGGAGAAAACCATCATGGATGAAGGAGAAAACTCAAGACGGAGAGGGAGAACTTTCCAACACTCCAAACAATTTACAAAACCCAAACAAAATAGGCGATTCTATTTGTGCAAAAATAAGAAATTTTCAAAACTCTTATAAAAACATAATTAAATCTACTTTTGTGTAGTCGGCTCGTGTGACACTCATCTTCTCATAATAATTTAAAAATTATAAAAAACATAAAATTTTCAAAAGTTAAAAATATCAACATCTTATATGGTGTTTTCTATTAAGAACTACATAATTCTCAAATAAAAATACATAACAACAAGGTGAATCATTGTTGGTTTACTTTAAAAGAATTTCAAAACATAAACTTTTCAAAGGTTAAAAATATCAACTATCTCAAATTGTGTTTTCTATTAAAAACTACATGTTCCTTAATGGAGATACATAGTCCTTGTTAGTTCGCTTTAAAAATATTCAAATAATTTTTAAAAAACCATATAATTCTTGATTTTTAGTTGTGAAGTGTGGAAAAAAAATCAAATAATTTTCAAATAATTAAAAAAAAATTACGTGATGGCTATTTTTTATAGTGGAAAAATATAAAACAAATTCGATTCTTATCATATTCACTTTCAAAATAATTTAAAAGTTTTCAAAATTATTTTCCAAGTAGTGTTATGTAATTAATTCTTAGATTCAAAATCTGAATTTGTAAACCTAACATTTATATTTTTTTCATTACTTTTTCATGATAGTGACTTTAAACTTTTACTTTTAATTTAATTTTTAATTCATGCTCGTCTTATGATACAATCCTATAAATAAGGCTTAGACCATGGTAAAAAATAAATAAAAAATATATTAGAGAATAAAAACCTCTTTCTAAATTATAATATTATTTAGAGCTAAATCACAATAATATTTTCCGAGCTTTACTATCACCTCCTCCATTTAAAATATATTTTTTTCACAAATATTATCATTAAGTTTATTAAGATTATGATTTACATTTTTAGTTTGCACCCACACGTGTCACTTTCGTTTCTTATCCGCTTTTAACCATTAGGGTACGTAACAACACGTGCCATGTCTCCTTTGTTTGGTAGACTCACGTGCCTACACGGCACACGAAGCCGATAAACAACGGAAAACCCTAACGAAATGTTCTGTTTCCATATTATTCACTTTATGTAACGGTTTCTTCCAGCTTCCACTTTCGCTACTCGTGTATACCTTCCTCCATATTCTTCTCTTCTTCTTCGAGGTACTCCTCTGTGTATATCGCTGTGTTCATTTCTGTTTGCTGTTTCGACATTGAATTTGAACTCTGCTGGTTACGGCAGTAACTAAGGAATATTGATATTGATTTACTGCTGTGATTTGAGCTTAATTTGGTGAAAACTCGAGTTTTACTTTTGTAGTTTCATGCCGGTGTTGCCTTTGGTAGCTTGACTTGTCCGAGTGCTTTTTGTTTACTTTCTTCTGAAGTTGCTAAAAATGAATGGTTTAAACTTCAATTTGTGTAAGTTAGAGTGTATAGTGTGGAACTGCTGGGGTTACTGCTTGTGTGTGTTTTGGCCATTGGTAATACACTTGGTTTTAGAATGTATTTCGGTGTATTTTTTTGTTTTAGAGTGCGCTCTGATTTTGATTTTTGTGTGTTTATTTTTCCATAGACAGTTTTAGCAACGCGGTGAATTTGGACACTATGGTTTGTATGGATGGTTAGATGTTTCAATTTGAAATATTTTATAGAAGTGTTTTCAGTTAACACTAAATGTTAAGATATATTTAATAAAAGTTTGCTACTTTTGATTCCCTCAACCATGAATCTAAATCCACTTAATGGCAGCAAGCTGTTTTGATAATACAGAAATGACACATTGTTTGAGTCCCATTATTTGGTTTTATGATTTTTAAAGTAGATATTTAAAACTAGATGCATGGTTTTCAGCATTTGGTTCACAAAATCGTGAAAGTAGTGTACAAAGTAAAAATACTTTGTCCTTTTTGTAATTAATTGTGAAGAGGATGTGGTAGAACAGGTTTTAATTGAATGGCAGGAAGGTGGAGCTGATGGGGCTACCTGGGAGGATCTGGTGGCAATACAGGATCAATTCCCTGAAATTAACGGAGAGTAATGATAGAGGCTGGAAAGTGTATGAAAGAAGGAAGAAGAATAGAACAAGTTAGCAGGAAAAAGGGGGGGTGGGGGTGAGTTGGTTAGAAGTATAACTGTAGTAACAGTTACATTGGAGGGAAAGAACTACTATAAATAGAGTAATTGTCATTCTGTGGAGGGAGTGAATAGTTTTCTTGTAAAGTCAGGACTTTGACCTGAGGAGGGAGATTAGGCTCCCGTAGAACCATATACCTGTACATTGATTCTTGTACATTGATTCTTTTACTAATACAGAAATACTATTTTTCTTCTGCCTAATTGCTTGTTTTGAGCGGTTGTGAGGGAGTTTCTAGGTTTCTAATTCCAGAAACCTAACATTTCACCTTGCCTTTGGCATGCTTAGATGAAATCCTACATCTGGCTTCAAACTGTGGATGGCTCTATTCATCAAGTAGAGGAAGAGGTAGCCATGTTTTGCCCCATGATTTGCCAGGAAGTACTTCAAACAGGCATGGGATCTTCCAAAACTTGTGCTATATCTCTTCCACATCATGTCAATCCTGCAATCTTGGATTTGATACTTGATTACTGTCGGTTTCACCAAGTACCAGGACATTCTAACAAGGTATGGAATTATCCAACTTTCATGTGATTCGTATTTACCTTGATTTTAGGAATATATATTTTTCAGTATTCCTTCATTATTTAAAGATTTGATGCTTGTTTGTTTTAAAGTATATTTATAATTTAAACTACTACTTGATCCCATCTGGGCAACATTTGATAACTTGTCCGCAACATCAAAGTATTATCTGTACGGTTACTTTTACCAGCTGAAATACTGGGGAAATGGCATGATTTATAGATTAACGAGTATTTGGTTGTGCTACTATTGTAGGAGCTCAAAATTTTCAACGAGAAGTTTGTTCGGATAGATACAAAGAAGTTATGTGAGTTGACATCTGCTGCTGACAGCCTCCAACTGAAGCCTTTGGTTGACCTGACCAGTCGAGCCCTTGCTAGGATTATTGAAGGAAAAACTCCTGAGGAGATTCGTGAAACATTTCATTTGCCTGATGACCTGACTGAGGTATGTGATGAAAGCAAAAGTGAGGTCATATGTTCTCATTTACGTAAATGACCTCTACAAACATGTTTCTTGATTTACTTCAATCACTTACAGGAAGAGAAGCTGGAGCCTCTGAGAAACGTAACTGATGATCCACGTATTCGACTTCTAAACAGATTGTATGCTAGAAAGAGGAAAGAACTACAAGAGAAAAAGAAACTGAAGGTATTTTCTACCATTTTAATTTCATCAATGTTCTTGAACCTTGCATATTGAATGTTCATATGATTCTTGGTTATGACAAACTTCTTGTCAGATTGTGTTGCAAGCACACTGAAATGTTTCACCTGTTTCAGGATGTTGCGGTTGAGGAGGAACCAAAGGATGAGCGTTCAGTTGAAGATCTTCTATCATTTATTAATGGCGCAGATGGAGGTATGTCATGTCATTCACCTTGACCTCTTCTATAAATTCCATTAATCAGTACTTCTGTTTCCTTGCGGCTATTTTATCACATCTTTCGTTTTATTTTGGGAGAGGGGTGCTGTAGATGAACGATGACAATCTTGTCTTCTATTGTTAAAGAAAAAGTATATTGCTTTAATTTTGTTTTGTTTTTCTCTGCCATACTGCAATCGGACTTGTTTCCTTAGCTTTGTCTTTTATTGGTGTACGCTATATACATCATGAATTATTTAAATCTAATCTGATTAAATTTTAGTTTTGGAAGTTGCGTGGAATATAAGATTTGCCTGCTGCTATTGTTTATTATTATTATTATTATCACTACTTTAGAATATCCAAAATTTATCTGATCATATAACTTATTCTAGCATATGTTATAGTACAATAATGATATAATGCTATAATTTTTAGATTTTTTAGGAGACTGCATTTGGGATAATGATTTCCAAACAATGTTTGGGACTGGAGATAGTTAGTCTGGGAGATCACAAATAGAACAACGACAGGATACTTTATGCTACTACTGATATTATTTAGTTTTGTTATTATTATTTTGATGCGTGGAGTTGCTCTCTTGTTTGTGATAGATCCTAGAGCTAGGTTGATTTCTTGTCTCTGATAATCACATAAAATTTTCTACATTTTTTCAATCATATTTCTTGTAGTTATTATAATATTTTTAATGCACCCTATCTTGTTTTATTTTTCATTTGCTTACTCCGGGGATATGAATGATTTGGCAGATATAAAGGGAACTAGAGCAAGTAAAAATAAAAAGAAGAGTAGAAGGAAAGACCAGGCAAAGGATCTTTCTTCAAAAAATGCAAATGAAAACAATAAGGTTAGACTCTGCCACCTAATAAAACACTTGTTGAGCATCTATTACACAACATATTTTATTAGACTTGTGTCCTTATTTGCATTACTTATATTAACAATACCTGTTTTTAAAATAGTATTGTTTCTCATTCAATATCCTTTTATATTAGGGGTTGAATCTTCTTCCTTCTGCATATCACAATGTCAATTTTGACAAGGCCTTAGAGGCCTCTGCAAGTAAACACTCAAGGATGCAAACCATTCCAGCTGTTAATTTTTCTCCAAAATTTGAATTTATTGATGGTGATGTTGACGATGATTTAGATCCTGCTGTGAAGGAGGAGCTTGACAGGTTAGATACATGCTTCTGCTAGTTCTTCAATTGATGAGGAATAAGTTCAAAACTGATGGTTCCAAAGCTTGAAGCTTGAAGATTTGATGTTTTTCTTATTTGTGAAATAGTTTGATGTTGAAAGATGTTGTAACTCCTGAAATCATAAATCACATGATATCTTTCTCCCCATTTGTCATTATCAAATGTAATAAAGACCACATGTAAAGAGAGGAAAGTAGATAACAAAAGACTTCATTGATAAGGCAAGCTTGAATACAAGTCATTGGATAATATTAGAGAATACAATAGAGATTAGCAAAGGTAATAACACACGAACAAGAAGAAAATACAAGATATCAAACGAACAAGTACCTATAAAGACACAAAATGAAAAGACAGAAAACACACAAAAGAAGCCTATTTTCCTGTCTGGAGAGAAAATACAACCTATCAAACCAACAAGTAACTATAAAGACACTCAATGAAAAGACAAAGAAAACACACAAGAGAATCCTATTTTCCCATGTGGAGATGCATCTCATTAATTTGATCTTTGATGACTTGATTCTTGTCACGAAGATTAGCAAATCCCCTTTCACAAGATGAGAGAAAGGTCTCTTGTGTTTTATGATTTCAGGAATTAAAACATCTTCAGGATTGAACTATTGTACAAATAAGGATGACCAGTTGTCATCATCAAATGAGTTTGTTGGTTCAAAAGCTTGAAATTAGAAGATTTGATGTTTTCAACCACCAAGAGCTAAAGGGATTCGATCTTGTGTCTGGAATTGTAATTTTGTGGTTAATCTTGTGTAATTGATTCGATTGCCAAAGATTATGTAGAGGAATCATTTTGGATTGCTTTGTAAAGGTTAAGTTGGGAAGGATCTTTGTAATGGGTTAAGAGCATCAGTTGGCTGTAGAATATATTTGTCCTCCTGACAAGTAGACTCTATGGACCACAGAATCATTCTGGTCGGTTTTGTGGTTATTTTCATGGATTTCATTGCTGTAAAATTATAATTACTCGAGGATTCCTGCACAATTGAATTTGGAGTGGAAAGTGATGCAGTTGTCTTGGTTGTGCACTCATACTTTATGATTAGACAACTAGTGGAATGAATATATCAAGTATAACCTATGAAAGAGGATAGCCTATCAAATATAACCTATGGATATCATACTTTTGAGTGGTTATTTTGTTGTATTCTCTCGTATCTTGCATTTATTGACTGTTTCTTTTCGTGTAGGGAAGTGGAAGATTTTGCGCGAAGATTGAATTCAGATTGGCCTGAAAGGATGCAAATTTTATCTTTGGGTCAGGACAGAAGACTGGTACCAATTTCTGTGAATGGCAATGGTTCAACGCACCTGTACACGAGTATATATTTCTTTCTTCTCAATATATTCCTACATTCTGCCTTGATTTCTATTAGATGCATCTAGACATTCTGATCTGGTTGTTAGTTGTTCTAAGATATGATTCTGGATTGACGGCTAAAGAAGCAGTGATGACGTTGTTGCATATATTAATTATTTTCAAAGACTTGTGTTATTTCCTAGGGCTTGATCATCGTGTCTGTTTTTAGTCCCCGTCCCACCCTTTTTGTCGTTTGCATATCTGTAATCATGCTGACGATTATAAGTTTTGAATCTGAAAATAATTTGAATTGATAACTGATAATTGACTAGGTCTGTGTTGATGGTGAGGAGTTGCAGCTGGGTTCATGATTGCAAGTCTATCATTGAGCATTTTAACTTATGGTACATATAGGCTTTTGATGATAGTACAGCACTGGCAGATAATTCAATTTCCAAGTTTAGAGGAAGTTGAAGTGATTTGAAAGGATGGCAGCTCAGAGTTTGAAAGTCTCTTTGTAAACACCATGTGAGTAATATTTATTTGTTCCTTATAACTTATAATCAAACTGTGGCTTTGTTTCTTAAATTTGAGCTTTTTGAATTCTGCGAAAAAGGGGAGAGAGGGACTGATAGAGAAAGAGAAAATGTGTGAAAAAAAGGATGAATAAAAAGAATCTTGAAAAGCAATTTACCTTGCCCTTGTTTCCTTGTATTTATTCCAATCTCCATGATAATTCCAGGCCTTTGAATTTTTAAAATTTAATTTCATTGTTATATTTTTGTTTCTATGGTATAGTTAGTTTGTAGATGAGTAATAGTGTTCCCCTTCAGTTGCACAACCAACTTAATCTCTCCAAGCTTTTTCGTCTAATTCTACTATTATAGCTGAATTTTCTTGTACCTTTTAGTGGTCAGTATGAGAGAGGATTGATTGCGTACTTACCATAAAGGAAAACGAATTTTCATTTTAGCTTTGGCTTCATATCATTTATAAGATGTTACTGAACGATAAGGGCACACCTCTATGTACGTTTAGAGTTATACTGCTCTCTGGGTTAATATGCTTCACTAGTATTTTTTTCTCTCCTTGATTCATGGTGTGGTGACCGAGGAAATAGTATAAATTTAATATTGCAGACAGGAGCTTGATTGCTTGAATGCAGAGTTTCTTAATTCATTTATAATCATGTAGTTATGTAAAAGAAGGTTTCTAGAGATACACAAAACGGAGTATAACTTCCAAAGCTTTTAAGTTTTGTTACTTGACCAAATTAGATATATTGGTTTGGGTTAGTTTCTATCTTGTGGAAGCTTTTAACCTGTAAAATCCTACTACTAAGACTCTTCCAAGGCAAGGATGCCGAGTTCTGTTTGTCCTTGCTTACGAAGGAGGGAAGGAGGGAAATGAGGGAGTTTTTATAAACGTTGAGAAATTTTCTTATTTTTACCTCATTCATTTTGTATCTTCTTCTGCTTACTTGTTGAAAAATTTATTTAAGCAGGTTCAAGCGATTGGAAGGAATTTAGTTATGGTTTCTAAACTCTATATACTGTTGATTCATATCCATTTCTCTGCTATTTCAGTTTCTCCCTGCTATCTTTATTTAGTGCTTTTAACCTGTCTTTGAAATATAGAGGGTAGATAATGCATAGAAATAAGTGGGAAATTATCGACTAGTTTATTTAAACTTAAAATAAGTTTTTCGAAATATTTTTCTAAAAGTGAGTTAGATTTATTTGTTAAATTAAATAGGAAATTACTTATCTTTAAAATAAGTGGATTAAAATGCTAATGAAAAAGAGAGTGGAAAAATATTTATTTTATACAAGTATTATTTTGAACATAAACAATTCTAAAAGCTTCTCATATGTAAGCGTAATGTGGGAATGATAATAAGATGAGTACCGGTTCCATTAATAAAGTAAAAATTTATTTATTAAAGTAAAAATTTATCAATGTAATAGGAATAAAATTGTTGTTCCATTTTTATTTTATTGGAAATGGGTATATCTATAGTTGCCTTTTAACGGTTTTGAATATTAATTATATAATTTTTTAATATCAAATAATAAGAAATAAATTTTAATTATATAAAAGAGTATTAATTCATTATCTATTGAATAAAGGTTAAATAATTATAAAAAAATGAAAATGATTAAATGTATGTTCATGAAATAAATTATGAAATTGAAGATTAAATAAAAGTTAATGTACACTTTTAGAATGATTTAATAAATTAAAATGAAATAGCATGTTTTTTTAAGTCACGATTTCAACTTGTCATGGTTATCAATTTTTTCAAAATGATGTTATTTATAATATTTTTTACTAATCATGATAAAAGAAAAACTTAATTCAAAACTTCATTTTTGACACATAATTACACAAAATGCTAGAATTTGGTTCCTGAATTCGAAACTACTTTTTTAATTTTTCAATTAAAATAAAAATTAAAAATATATTAATGAAAATAATTAAGATTTTTATAATATTCACTATATTTAAAATTTATTAGAAATAGAGAAGATTGGGAGAGAATATCCCCTTGTGTTAAATACACACATAGGATTATCTATTTATAATAAAAGAAATATGGGCTAAGCCCAAAATACAAATGAGAAAATAATAACTAACTAAAAGATATAATATATCTAACACTCCCCCTCAAGCTGGAGCATATAAATCATATGTTCCAAGCTTGTTACAAAGATAATCAATTTCTATGTCCTCGTAAGGACTTGTGAATGTCTGCCAACTAGTTGCTTGAGTTAACAATTTCAGTCTTGATATCTCCGGATATGATTTTTTCTCGAATGAAATTGACAATCAACTTCAATGTGTTTTGGTTTCTCCATGGAAGACAGGGTTAGAGCTAATTGAGAGCAACTTGATTATCACATATAAGTATCATGTGATGTGACATCTCCAAATTTCAATTCACTAAGCAATTGTTTTAAGCCACACAAGCTCGCAAGTAGCTGATGCCAATGCTCTATATTCTGCTTCTGCCCTGGCCCTTGCCACAACCACTTTTGCTTCTTACTTTTCCAAATATCAGGTTCTACTACCAATAGAGACACAATATCCAGAAGTAGACCTCCTCTCAGAAGGGGGAAACCAGCCCAATCAGCATCTGAATAACAAACAATTTTTGTATCTTTGTTAGGGCCCATATAGCAAACTTTTCCAGGTGATTTTTAATATACTTCAGTATGCGAACAACTGCATCCCAATGGTCTTCACATGGGGAGTTTAAATTGACTCACCACAACTAACTGCGAAGGAAATGTCAGGACGCGTAACAGTAAGAAGTTTAATTTACCAACTAAGTCTTCTGTACCGTTTCAGATCTGAGAAAGGCTCCCCCTGATTTGGTAGGAGTTGATGTTAGGGTCCATAGGTGTCTCCAGCATTTACAATTCATTAACCCTGTTTCCTCCAAGATGTCTAAACGCATACTCTCTGAGATAGGACAATACCATCATTGGGTGTGCTACTTTCAATACCCAAAAAGTACCTGAGTTTTGCCAAGATCTTTGATCGTTTTTTCCAATTCTTTAGCAGGAGTGGACGCAGGGGGTAATATATATTAAAGTCATGAAGAAGGGCATGAATTTTTACCCAAATATTCTGCCATAGGACCAGATTCGCGGACCAATAACAGTTAATAGGTCCTCTGACAAACACCATAAAGACCGATGAGTGGTCATTTGTGTTATAACAACTTCGCTTGTGCCCATACTTCTGAACATGTTTCATAGGATCGAACACTTTGTTTTCAGTGAGGAGTGAATGGTGGACTTTAATCAATGCATAAATGAGCATCAATTTTTCATCCAGCGGGAAGTTTCTATGGGATCAGTAGTCACATTTTGAGTAAGATGATCTAAGTACCCTTGACTCTCTTCAACCAAAATTTGATGTCGACGCCCCATGTTGCATAATTTGTGCCATCTAACTTGTCAATGGACAAGTGTACATTCACATAATTGGTATATATTCAAGGCTCAGAAGATGAGCCAAAACCAACAGAGGTGTTTGAAGACGCCATAGAGAAGGAGAACCCTAAAAAAAAAAATCCAAAGTGCCTTCCGATTGACGCAACGACCACAGATCCAGAAAGAGGGCGAGGAGGCGATCACGGCGGTGCTGATCGGCGGTGTGATCGGCGGGGCGGAAAGCTCCGCGCGCGCCGGCACGCGCGGCGCACGGCGACTCTTTCGGGCGGCGCGTGCGCGCTGGGAGGTCCTTTCCGCCGCGATCTTCGGACTACGGTTGGTCGCCGGTGATTTGGAACTCCGGTGGACGCGGCGGAGCGGACGGCAGTGGCAGCGCGATGGGCAGCGACAACGGCAGTGATGGGTGCCGGAGGGGGACCGTGGGATTGACTGGAACTATATTCCTGTGTCTCTAAGATAACCATATTGAAGAGAAATAAGAGAAGATGGAGAGAATAATCCCCTTGGTGTTAATACCACCACATTAGGGTTGTAACTATTTATAATAAAAGAAAATATGGGTAAGCCCAAAAATTTTACAAAATGAGGAAAAATAATAACTAAAACTAACTAAAAGATATAATATATCTAAACAATTTTGTTACAATTAAAAAAATTTTTAAAAAATTTTTAATTAATATCTAGGATTTTGTTATAAAAAAAAATAAATTGGTTTCGATAATAAAAATTAAAAAAAATTTAAAGGGACTTCATTTAGATTTGGTTTTAATTGGTTTTGTTTTGTTCCCCAGTTTTGGCTGTAACGTTGTCAAGTTAGTCCCACAAATTTTAAGAAAGTTTCAAATTACGTCCAAAAACTTGGTTTAAAAATTGTTCAATTTCGTCCCCCCAAATAAACGTAGTAAAATTTGCTTCAATTCAAAGTCCCTTCCGTTAAATCCCCACCTAAAACGGACGTTACTTCTTTTTTCTTCCTCTCCTCTGTTGTCTGCTCCTCTCCTCTGCTCCTCTAACCACAAACAGGCAGACCCTCTCTTCTTTTGAATATTTGCATTACACTAAACGAATAGTTATAGTGTGATCCACAATGGGAACAAAAGTTGAAGCAAAAACGGTTATAAATTTTTTGTTATAGGATGGGAAAAAATGCATTTTTTGCCCACTAAAAGTTGTCTATCCTAATTCTATATGGTAGTGTCTTCTAATTGGTCAATCAATATTTTAAGAAAATTAAAAAAGGTGAAAAAACCAAAATTATCATTTCAATGAAAAAAGTTTTGAAGAAACGAAAAAAAACTTTTTAAATAATTTTCAATAATCTTTTTATTTTAATAAAAATTAAACTTTCTTTTATGTTTAATAAATATTTTTTCGTATTTTATTTTATTAAAAAAACATACGCTTATATTTTTTAAAAACTTTAATTTTTTTTACCATTTTAATATTTTTATTCAATATTATAATCTTTAAAAATAAAAAAAGAGGAAATTGTGTTGTTTCTTAACAAATATATAGTAGATTAAATTTTATGTTTTTTTATTAAAAGTTATAAGTTGAGAGGCGAATTTGTGAATTTCTAAATTCTACAGGGGACATATAAAGTGCACCAATAAATATTAAAAATTCTCTTTAAAACATTCATTTTAAACGAAGGTAAATGATATTTTCTTGCCCAATTATAATTTTTAATTTAATTTGGTCTATACATAACTCTCCAAAAAAAACTATTTTAAAACATGGTTCTATTATAATTTATAAAAATACAGTTTAACTAAAAAATTATTGTTTTATAATAATCAAGTTCAGTTTTAACTAGTAATTAAATAGTTTTTTAATAAAAAAACTTTTCTTTTATGGAGTGGATCCTTCTCTTTTGACAGTAAATGGAGACTCTTCCATTCCAGAAATGTGAACCATTTGATTATTTCCTATTTTAATTAACCTCTTTATATATAACATTACATTATATGTATCTCTTAATCTAAACTATTCATTTAAAATTCAAAATATTAAAATAAATTTTAGTGTATGCCCAAATATTCAAAAGAAAGAGAGGTCTGCTGTTGCGCAGGAGAAACAGAGCAGACGGAGCAAGGAGAGAGAAAAAAATTAACGTCCGTT